GACCTGTCATTAAACGATTTATCAATTTGATATCATAAACATTTAAATCACATTTTTTATCCCTAAACCACGGTGGCTTTTTAATGTCATCAATGTTGTCANTTATAAGTGGTTCTAGCGGCTGAAAACCTTGAGCATTCAAAAATTAAGTGATCGCTATTTTCCTTCACCTGGCAGGAGGAGCACAATTCCCCAATCCCCCTTTTAAACTTGCTTAAATATTCTTTACCATATGTGTGACCTGTCATTAAACGATTTATCAATTTGATATCATAAACATTTAAATCACATTTTTTATCCCTAAACCACGGTGGCTTTTTAATGTCATCAATGTTGTCAGCAAAAAATCTCCCCTTCGTAGTACTTAGTACTGTGAACTCATTTTCCCATTCCGACCAAATTTGTTTACGGATCTGGCATAAAACTTCCCCCAAAGTTAACTTCACCCTTAGAAACGACCCATTTCCAACCGCAGCCTTAGCATAACAATCAGCTTTTTCATTTAGACCTATGCCTACATGACTTGGCACCCACATAACCCTAGCACATTCACAAGCTGAACTTGCAATCCTGTTGTGAATTGCCGCCACAATGAAATTTGATGTCCTACTCTTTTCTAGTAGTCTAATAGAAGCCAAACTGTCAGTGATAATAGCCCATTTTCTTACGTTGTTGGCGGTCAGAAAAAGAACTGCTTGCCAGATTGCAATCAGCTCTCCATACGTAGAAGAGAAAGTATCATTAATTTTGAATAAATTTGCAGAATTCCTTTGCGGGTCATAAAAAGCCATACCAGTTACTCTTTCAGTCACAGACGCATCGGTTGCAATTAGGTAGAAATCCTCATTCTTTAAATCATTGAACCTAGCCAACACCATACTCTTTAACTGGTCGCTATTGTAGTTTCTCTTAGAACCACACAACGACGACCCTACTACCTCAAAATACTTATGTTTTTTAAACTTTGTATTATAGTCTATTTTGTCAAACAATGATCTGTACTTATTGTACATAAAGCTATAGCTACATTTACCTAAACCACCCACTGACAATCCCGCTCTAATATTTTCATTGTTCAACCATTGTTTGCCTAATTCTTTCGCCGCCAGCCATTCTGCCCTCCTCAAAGGGGGAAGCTCGCCCGCCAGCGCATATCTAACATGGATTGGTGAACTCGGTGGAAGACCAAGACACCGTCTGAGGGAATCATTGAGGATACCTTGCATTTTTTTGTTAAACCCAAACGGAGCATCAGCATAGGTTGTATTTGCATATTCAGCTTTGCTTCTCACAT